AACGGGCTGATGAGGTAGCTGAGTCGATTGAGGACACCCTGGATGCTCGCAAAGATGCAGACTTTGCTTGGGAATGGCCAACCACGGCCAAGAGAGGCTGGGACTCCAAGGCAATTCGAAGACTTCTCAACAAGATGAGACAGTTGAATCGGCCAGTCTTTTGGCGCCGTTTCCATGGATGCGCCTACGGGTTGGAGTATAAGCAGATTCCCATCCTCAAGAGCTGGACGGTGCTCACCTCAAATCGAGCACTGTGGATGAGTCTGCAGAAGAAGTGTCCTGGTCATGGTGAACACGCAGAGTGCCGCGGCCCGGCGGCTCAGGCACCACCCTATTACCCGCCAAAGATGATCACGGCGGTGACCAGGGCCATCGCAGGATCTTGGCAAGCCTCGGAGGAGACGTACGGGACAAAGCATCGCCCAGGACATTGAGAAGTACCTCCTCAACCTTCATCCTGAGGAAGATGGAGACCGAGAAGGGCGAGTCTGTCAGGAGATCCGAGAGCAGAGTCCAGAGCTGTTCGCTCTAACCAGGAACAACTTCCCAAAAAAGAACCCACAGGCAGAAAGCTGGAGTTGGTCAAGCAGCAGATGATGCGGATCCATCCGTCATCAGGCCACTCATCCTTCGGGAACCTTCAAAGGTTGCTGAGGGCAAGGAAAGCGCCGGAATGGGCAGTGACCCCAGCCGCAAACATGCAGTGTCCAGACTGCATTGAGTCCTGGAAGCCGCTACTACATCCACCAGCAAGCGCCAAGGATACTCCAGAGCTCTTTGAGGTTGTCGGAGTTGATGTCTTTGAATATGGCAGCGGCGAGGGCAAGCAAAAGGACAAGTTTCTGCTGTGGCGTGACCGAGCGAGTGGCTATGTGATGACGGACCACCTGAGCTGCTACAAGGGCCGTTGGGAGCCTACGGCGCAAGATGTCGTGAGGAGTTTTGTGAAATGGTTGATGATCAACCCTGCTCCAAAGTGGATCCTCAGTGACGCTGGACCTCAGTTTACTGCAGAACACTTTCTGGATTTTTGCAGTCGTTCCGGCGTTGGGTGCTGACTGCACCTGCGGAAGCTCATTGGATCCTGGGAGCAGAGGAGGGATGCATCAAGATCCTCAAGGCCTCGGTTGGAAGGCTGATCAAAGAAGAGCCAACGTTGTCAGTGGCACATGCCTTTGCACTGGCAGCCCATGGGGCCAACAACGCAATCGCCAGTGGTTTTTCTGCCTTCCAATGGATCAGAGGAGCGGCCACACCACAAGATCCACTTCCTTCCGGATTGGACCCAAAGCAAGCATTCGGAGGGCTGCTACGACTGAAGGAGAAAGCAAGAATCGCCTATGAGCAAGAACGTGCAAAGTACAAGCTCTCCCGTCTGAACAATGCATTGGGGCGATCTCCTCAGTCTTTTTCGATTGGAGCTCTCGTGATGCTGTGGCGGCAGAGGATCAAGCCAGGAAAGACATCCGGCAACTGGACAGGCCCAGTACGAGTTCTTCTACAAGAAAGCAGCACTTTGTGGCTCGCTCATGGAGCAACCTTGATTCGAGCCAAGACGAATCAATGCCGCGAATGCACTCGGCGAGAAGAACTTCAGGCCACGCTGGATAGAGTTGCAATCTACCGGCAACCCGTGACGATGGATAGTCTTCTCAAGAGCTTCACCGGAAAGCGCTACACGAATGTCACTGGCGAAAGCCCATCGAAGGAGCAGATGATGAAGGACCTGGCACCCACTGATGTTCGTCTACTACACCATCCAGGAAAGAGAGAACAACAGGAGGCCAAGAGGCCAAGAGGGCCGCCAGAGGGAAAGACGATGAAAGTCCCGCTGAAGAAGACGACAAGATGAGTTGAGGCCGCAAGAAGAGCAATCTCGGGATGAAGATCCTCCAGAACCACAAGTACCCGAGGAGAAGAAAGTGGCAAATGCTCCAGCGGCCATGACGCCGAGGACCCAGGCGCTAGAGTCAGAGGGGAAACCAATTCCACCGACTCCATTTCTCCAAGGATCAGCCACATGATGATCCAGCTGCGACAGCAGCACAATCTTCGAGTGGAAACTGCTCCACTCCCCAATGCAAGCTCCCAGGAGGACATCATGGACCTCACGAGGATGATGTTGGAAGAAAATTCGCCATGTCCACATCTGGCGGACGAATCAATCTGGATGATGATCCATCTCAACGAGATGAAGATCCAAGTTCATCCAGTTCATCGAGCTCAACCTCTTCATCAGAGGAATTGCGAACGGAGGTGGAAGAAAGGAGGAGGAAAGCCAAGGGACCCCGACGATCCAGAGGGGACAAGAGAAAGGCTGAAGAAGAGCCTGAACAAGGGCAATTTTACGCCCTGGAGATCGAGGTGACGGAAGAAGATTCCACCTACCTGATGAAGCATCCCAGAAAGGCAGGACTGTTCCTGTCAGGGGAGATGCAAGAAAAAGGAAAAGAACACACGTGGCAGGAACTGGACATCGAGCAGAAAAAGGAGCCAAAGAGATGTCCAATGTCTTGCAGTCGAAGGCCTTGCGGTCGCTCACCAAGCAAGAATGGAAGGGCCTCGACAAGAAGAGAGTGATGCAGATGCGCTGGGTGTTAACCACAAAACCCATGCCAGAAGGAGCTGTGGCAAAGGCTCGATTAGTCGTGCTTGGCTTCCAGCAGCGCAATTTGACCCAGGTACAAGCGGCAGCACCGACTATGAGCAGGGTTTCAAGAAACATGCTTCTCTGCATGGCCGCAAGCCAGGGATTCAAGCTGCGCTCAGGCGACGTCACGTCTGCCTTTTTGCAGGCAAAGAAGTCGCTAGAGCATGAAGATTTGGTGGTATGGGCTCCACCAGAGCTAGCTGTGTTGTACGGCGCCAATCCACGAGACCCAGTCATGCCCCTCAAGGTGGTGAAGGCTTTCTGAAGGCTTTCTATGGCCTTGTCCATGCACCCAGAGCATGGTACGATGAAGTCTCAACCACGCTTCAGGCGCAAGGATGGAACAAGCTGGTCTCAGATGGCTGCATCTTCACTTTGAAGGACGGGCCGCATGTGGTGGGCTGGATTGGGGTGCACGTAGATGATTTTCTACTAGCAGGCCAAGATGGAAATGAGGTCTTTGACAAGGCCAGGAGTGACCTAGAGAAGGCCTACAGATGGGGGCGATGGGATGAGGGCGAATTCACTTTCACCGGCTGCCAAATCACCCAGAAGGACAAGGAGATCAGGATCGGGCAATCCGACTACGTCGAAAGCAGGGTGGATGAAATAGAGCTGACGAAGGAGAGGGCAGCACAGAAGAAAGCCGCAGCAACTCCCAGTGACTACTTCTTTCCGAAGTGCCCTATGCCACAGTGGACACGCTGGTCCGCACCAACAAGTTGGTCCGCGAGGTGCGCATGGCTCCACAGACGATGGTGTTTCCCCACTGGAACGTGAAGTGGGAGGAGCTGGCGACAGTGGTATGGGCCGATGCCTCCAATTCCAACCGCCCGGACAAGAGCTCCACCATGAGCATAGTGGGTGGCTGTGCAACTCAGTCCATCCTTGATGGATCTTCCCAGCAGGTGGCTCTCATCACCTGGAGGTCACAGAAGACTCCTCGACAAGTCCTAGGAAGCAACGGAGCGGAGGTGCAGGCAATCACCGAAGGCGAAGACCTATGCTTTAGGTTGAGGGCCCTGATGGCGGAGATGAATGGAGAGGCGATCACTCGCCACAATCTTCATGAGATGGTCAAGAAGAAGACCAAAGGGGCCGTGATCATGGATTCCAGGGGGATCTATGACGCGATGGTTCGAAATGTGAGCTCGCTGCATGGGCTTTGATCTGGAAGGCCCGGATATGAGCCGGCAATCTCGGTCGCGCAGGCCATTGAGATTGGCACAAGCCTGAGGTGGGTCAACGGTGACCGTCAGCTTGCAGACCCGTTGACGAAGGGCGGCGCAGCAAAGAAGCTGATGATGCAGTTCCTGGCAAATGGGCAGTGGTGGACATTGATCCACGACCCGCTGTTCGTGTCTGGCCGAAACATGAAGAAGAGGGCACTCCAGGAGGCGATGCAAAAGACGTTCACGGAAGCGGTTCACCTTTTGGCGGTAAAGAACCGCTGGCCGTGGCCCTTGAACGAGGGCATGACCTTGGAAGTATGGGGGATGAAAGCACCCATGAGACCACCAAACCATGGAAGGACATGTACACGTAAGGTCATGCTGTCCGCAGTTCGAGGGTGGGCTCGAGAACTCGTTCGCTTAGCGGAAACAGGCGCTTGAGGTGCGCTGTTTGCTAGTTACCGTTCGGTGGTAAACTCGTTGTGCAATAATGCAATATCACCCGGCCGGCGTAACCGGGATCGCGATCGTTTGGCCCAAAACGATACCCATCTTTATCAATCTTCAAGCAGCACGGAAAGCATAGGATTTCGTGCCTCTGATGAGGGCCGCCCCAAGCTAACGCTTAGGATTAATCCTCCAGTTTTTATCGAGCCTCCACAAAGCCTCGGCACCTTCGGCGCGGGCGGATTTTCGTGCTCACTAAGCCTGCGCACCACAAAGTCAACGAACAGTCCATCGAATCAATGTTTGTGACACAAAAAAGTCAACGCTTCAGACCTAACTCAGAATCGAAGGAGAAAGGTGTTTGAAGATGCTACAGGCGCTTGAGAGAAAATGACAACGTCTGGTTTAAGCCGCTTATAAAGATGATGGCAGGCGACAATGGCAGGCGTCCAGCACACAAACTCTCACACCCCTTGGCATCAATGTGCTGCCGGTGCCTTCCAAAGCAACAAGTTCCAGAAGCAACAAGTTCCAGCGCAAGGGTGAGAGACCGGAAACCTGGAAAGACACATGGAAAGGGGTTGACAGATATTGGCCATAGACAATTCCTTGTGTGTGACCTATCATGTCGGTTTTGACCGTAGTGTGTGCACATGCTTCTCAGCATCGACCCCTGCATTGTGTCACATTAGATTCTCAGTTCTTTCGGTTTACTCCAGTGTCTCGGCAAGGTGGTGCCAGAAGTCTTCCTATCACTCTGTGGACGTCGGGTGTTGGTGATGGAATTTGTGCCGGCCTGAGTGAAGGGCTGGGGTTTCAGTGCTTTGTTTTCAGCAGTTGCCAGACGAAAACAAGTCTTCGATGTAAGCGCTTAAGGTGTCATGAAAGACTACATGCCTTTTTCGGACATGTCTGGCGGATGGAAGAGGGAAGAGCGATAGAGCTCGTTGAGGTGGAAGGTCATCAAGTCGCCGCAGGGGATGCATCCCTGACTCCTGACGAGCGGTTGGAGGTAGTGTGTGACTTTATCCTTGTTGTGCACCCACACAAGCACAGGTCTGGATTCGGGTGGTAGATGGGTCGAATAAAGTTGACGGGGCAGGTCATGACTTCACTGGTCAAGGCCTATGCGCACGGCTTATTTGTGTCTGGTCACTTTAATGGCGATCCTCATGTGCCCTTGCTCAAAGAGTCTGCGTGTAAAGGATTGTTACTTCGTTTCAGTTTCCACGTGACCAGTGACCAGTGGCGAGAAAATCATAAGGCAGGCAATCTTTTGGTCACACGTCGGCACGGCAAGGCGGGAATGGACGGGATTCTTCGGGCTTGGAATATGGGGAATGAATGGCGGGAATCAGTGGCATGCCCAAAGCATTGAATGTACTTCCTGTTTTTCACCAGATAGCGAGAGCTATTAGGGTTCTTCCTTCAAGTATAGGAGGAGGTGCCTGTGTGCGCTTTGCTGGTGCCGGTGCAGGGTGGGTGCTGCTGCAAGCGTACGAGTGGCTGTTTGCGCCTTGAGCCTGTGCGGTGGTGCCGCTCGAGAGGTGCCGCTGCAGGTTGCTGCTGCCAGATGTCTATTTCAGCTTGAGTTTTGGAGCGTGCGTGTTGGTGTGTCGCTGCAGGGCAGTGCAGGGCGGCGCTCCCAAATGTTTATGGCAGTGTGTCAGCTGGAGTGTGGGTGCCGGTGTCATGACTGTCATGCTGCCCACAAAAATGTTTGCCACACGTATCTTCTGCTATCCAGGGTCTACGCTGGCGTAAACTTAGGAGAAGGTAGTGGTAGTAAGGAGAACCGGGTCATTTTTCATCCGCTACTAGTAACAAGGGCATCGCTGTTTCTAGTAACGAGGGCATCGCTACTGCTAGTAACAAGGGCATCGGCATAGCTATTACTAGTAACAAGGGCATTGCTACTACTAGCAACAAGGGCATCGCTACTACTAGTAACAAGGGCATCGCTACTACTAGTAACAAGGGTATTACTACCAGTAAACAAGGGCATCGCTATCAGTAACAAGGGCATCGCTACTAGTGACAAGGGCATCGCTACTAGTATCAAGGGCACCGCTACTAGTTACAAGGGCATCACTGCTAGTAACCAGGGCACCGTTATTAGCAGCAAAGACATTAAGACTAGTAACAATGGTTCTTCGTGGAGCTATCCTTTTGAGCCCGATGTGTTAACTGCAATGGGCGTGTGTCTTGCAGGCAAAATGCGTTTTGCTGGACTGGGGGCTAACAAAGCAGCTGAGTGATCAACGGCGCTTGGCGGCTTGTAGCTTCCGCTCAATATTTGAATTCAAGCACAGTTACAGTAAGTGACAGTTGTTTTGGGGGGCGTCCCGTGCTAACTGTGCTTTTTGTCTCATTTTGCAACAAAACCTGAGTGCCACATTCAGTACTGGTCCAGCAGGCAACACCTCGCTTCCATTCCAGTGATGTCATTGAACAAGGCTTTTGTGAATTGAGAGGAGCAAGGCTGCAGGAACATGTGTATTGCTATCCGAGGCAAGCTGATTGTTTCGGTGGGCATGAAGGCCCGGATCGGGAAAGTGAAGCAAAGCCGACTTTCTCAGCATTCTGGTCATTTATATAGATGTTGACAGCTCCTGTGGCCATCTAGGACACCAACGGGATTGTGGAAGCATTCAGGGAGATGGGCAACGAGGTTGCAATAGTCGGGAAATATAGTGAGCCAGTCTCTCTCCAACAAGCATGCCCACATGCACGACACATGGGACTAAAGTGTGGGCCCGCTTGACTTGATTCGTCCTTGCAGTTTTTGGCTAGCCGCATTAGAGCACAGCACTAGAAATAAATGCATACGGCGAGAGTGCTGTTTCTTGCAGAGACACTTTCTCCTTGGCATATCTCAGGCATGAACTTTTCTGCCAACGCTGACCCGGAACCAGAACTACTGTTGGCAATTCTGCGGCAGATCAGCCTGATTGAGAACAAACAGGAGTCCCGCAGGACAGACTTGCACACTGGTGAGCTTAAATGTGGCGGTGGTGTGAGTATTGATTGAGGTAGGCTTAAGAAAGTCCAAAATATTAAAGTATGGTTGATGGTCGCTGCCTGTTGACAGTATTGAGGATCATCATTGCTTGCTTGCGACCTCGGCCTTGCAAAGGATGCAAGCCAAATTTGGGGAGACCATGCAGAAAGCCATGTCGCACAAGATGGAGCTCCACACCAAGGTGCCTCCTATAGGACTTCCAAGTAGGGTAATTGATCAACTTCTTTCGCATTCATCATTTGGTATTCACGGCAAGCACTTGCAAGCAACACTTCAGGTTCTGTTTGCTTACATCCTGAGGTTGACAGCTACACCGGGGATTTCTTCTTTATTTTCAGAGTTGCCTCTTTGATCAAGGGGTTGGCAACAGTGCTTGACATCAAAGCACAGCTGCTTGGCCCCGTTCCAAAGCGGATCGTTCCAACGCGGATCGCGCAAATTGTATCAAATTGTGTGTTTCCACTAGTGACACTAGTGGCAAAAGGCAGTTGATCCTGACTTCACCATGGGAAACCTTACTACATCACAAACCACGACTACACTTCATCACATCACTAGCCACCACGTTACACGTTCACAGAGCCACACTTCACCTTTTCTGCGCCATACTTCACACATAATCAATCACCACACTACAATTAGAGTCTTGACATCCTACAAGCCGGTTTCAAGAGGGCTTTGCACCAGACCTACAAGAGAGGGAACTGTGCCCACTTGCAGCAGCGGTGGTGCAAGCATATCTCAGAACTGTTCACGTCACAACAACGAACCGACGAATCGTCGAATACACTGTACACTTCGCCACATCACAAACGTCACGCGACCCTTCATGATTGGACAAGTCTTCACCCGTTTCGCCGCCAGGTTGTCACATACAGAGGAGCCAGCGGGGAAATTAACACAGCAAACACCAACAGAAACGAACACTCAGTGTCCAATGGTGAGTGGAAAACGGGGACCACCTCTCTGCATCAACACAGCCATTGCCGTAAAGGAATGGCTGGCACGCCCATCATAAATCAAGATAAGAACGCGTGCATGCACACGCAAGACACTGACACGCGTGCAAGTGGTTTGTTTGGCATTGTGATTTTCTTTCACACAAGACGCGAACCTTTTTCGTCGTGGATGTGAGCCTGCAGGTGCAGAGAGCTCAACAATCCACATTGTGAGCAACTGTATTGAGCTTTGTCGACGATCATATAGAGTCAGCTCCTTCATGCCCAGAGGGTTCCACACCGGCCATTTTTCCGGATAAAGATTGAAACTCCGGGTGTAAAGAGGCATGCTGATGACTGTGCAGGGGATACTACGGAGTGGAGTACAGTGGAATATGTAGAATGCATTGATCGTTGACACCTCAGAATCGGCAAACAAACGAACTCAGCATCAGCGAACGAACGAACCTCAGAATCGGCAATCGAACATGACCTGCCCAGCTTAGGGCACCTATAAGTAGGAAAGCCAACATGGCAGCATGCTTTGCTTGCATTGTTGATTGTCTGAAGGGAAACTTGTGGCAAGCAAACAGCAATAGACATAAGAGAAAGCAACGGCTGACATAATGCGGTTCCATGTCCACGCGCAACATTAAGATCTAGGCGGGGTTGAGTGCTCATTCTTACTGCAAAACTTGCAGCTGAATATGAATAAGTAGATTGAATAAGGCAGGTCATTCATCCTGAGGATATCGACCTTCCGTGGTCGTCGTTTCCTTGTGCACAGGTCAGCTTTTGTGTGTGCACGCAGGAGGTATGTAGGGTCGAAAAGCACATTCTGAAGCAGTGATTCAAAGGCAGTCTGCCTATACACACATACATACATACATACATGCATACATACATGGCTCAAGTGGTCCAAGCCGGTCCCATACAAATCCGGATACAGGCAAAACGCCATAGACATCCGGGACTTCGTGCACAGCGCTGGACTCCTTTGCCCGTGATCACACGTGTCCACCAACCCCGCTCTTGAAGAGCTCTTTGGTGGCTGGCAGGGTCTCGCGCAGGACATCACTCAGGGCAACCTGCTGAACTTGCTCTACCTTCTCCTTCCTCTTTGGGGATTTTGACATCTACCACTTTGCCCGTGATCCCTACGTGACAAAGAACCTTCCAAGCCAGAACCTTCCAAGGCAACCTTGCACTATGGCTCTTATGACCTCCTGGTGCAGAAGCTACACTGTTTGCGCCCACAAGCAGTGCCACAACTGTATTTGGGATGACAAGAAAAATCCAGGCACACGCTGCAGGAAATGCGGAACATTGTGGCAGCAAGGAACCTCCCCTACAGGAAAAGGAAAAGGCCAAGGCCATGGCAATGGAAGCAAGATGTACCTCAATGCAGCCTGGCCCAAGAAGAACGTGAACGAAGACCTCATGGACCACCCACCAGGTTTGAACAAGTTCAAGCCTTTAAAGAAGAATAAGACTCAGCAGCAGAACTCCTGGCAACCACCTGGGAAGTGATACCAAGTGACATCCAAGGCAAACTACAAGCGCTTGGATTGGGACCACCTCAACCAGAAGAACCAGGTCTAGCAGAACTTTTGCAGACACACCTCAATGCTTTACCACAAGCAGTCCAGGATGTGGTCAACAAACTCAATCAGCCAATCCCGGATACAGAAGAAGGGCTGGCCCAGAAGCTCAAGACACAAGTTACGGAGCTCAAGACCATCTCTATGAAGAAGGCACAGCTACAAACAAAGCTGGACCAGATCAAGAGTCAATACGCCTCCATGCATGTTGCAGGACATGCAAGAGCACCAAATCAGGCTCAACGAGGGGCAAAAGAAGCTCAAGACTTTGTCCGAGCAGTACACGCAAGCAGTCAACAAGACACCTATGCCAGCTGAACTGGGACCTCAAGAGGACCAAGAACTGCCAACTGCCAATCCCAATGGCGGTGGAAACCTTTGTTACAAGCCTAGGCATTGACCTCACTGATGAGCAGCGCAGCCAGCTACATGGCCTACTCAAACGGCCAGTGCAGGAGGCAGAAGGCCCCAGCAAGCGCAGAAAAACAGAGACCACTGCTCCACTGCCGCCGGGAGGGCAGTGTGGGTAACAACGCCCACTCACTCCAAGGGTTTCAAGGGATCCAGGTGCCGGTACCCCTTGACGACTTCGATCAGGCACCACCAACCAATTCGGTTTGCCGCGCTGCCTCAAGATCAGCGCAGGCGGGGGAACAGCAAATGACACACTGTGCAAGGGGAAGACACAGCAGCGTTTGCAGAACCTTTTTCAAGTACCAGCTACTTTTGGGGACACCTCACACAGGAGTGCAGGGGCACACACTCTTGAATTTGAGGACATACATACTCCACAACCACAGGAGAAACCGTTTGAGCAACTCTCCAGTGCCTCGGCCGTTGATGGACCACTCCCTGGAGCACCTGGCCCTGATCTTCATAGTGAGCACAAGCCCAATTAGCAGGTGCTCCAATGCAAGGCACCTTTGCATCCACCACGGAACGCATACTTCAGAATCTCACCATGACAGTTGGGAATCCCAGCGCCAGATGCTATGCCAATGCACCCTGGCGTGCGTTCACCTGGACATGCGCCCTGCTTCAGGAGACCAACGCTCAACCTTGGGTCTCTGGAGCTTGCTGAAGCTGTGGATATCCATCAGTTGCCTGGCCTGCAACCCTTGTGGAAGAAGCGCAACCTCAACATCCAAGGAGACGCCAACCATTTTGTCAATACTCTTTGGAACCTTTCTCAAACGCGAGCTTTCCACTACAGGTTTGCAGAGATCCAAGAAGGTGGGTTTTTGAGATCACATCCAACAGCCAATCCTGGTTCCCTACCCTGACGATTGGCCGGACAATACAATACAAGCCTTCAGGACCTATTCAATGGATGGGCCAACACAGGTTTGGGTCAATATCTACTTGATGACAAGCCGGTCTTGATCGGTTACATCACCAGGAATACCTGTGTGGAAGGAGTCATGACCAAGCACACCAAGATCCTCAATCCCTGTGGCACCTTTGCAGTGCCCCGCTCCCTGGATGGTTTTGCTCGAGCATCCTCAGAGTTCGTACCGGCAGCGCTCATCTGTCACAGAGGACCCAGCCACAATACAGGCCACTATTTCGCCATCTTCATCTACAGAGACCTCATGTGGATTGCTGATGACGGCAAACCGCCAATCCACTTGGACCATCTCACGCCACAACTGGCCAGTCAGGTCACCCAAATCTGGGCGGTCCACATCGACACGTTCAGAACCATCCAAGCCCGGAAAAGAGACCATGCCTGGAGCAGACTCACAACCAGCTGCACTTTGCCAACGTCACCAACTTTGGCAAACAAGTTCTTGACTGGTTTTGGTCACGGCAAAGCGAGGTGTACATCTTGGTTGAGACGCATCTCGATCCACAGAAGCATCAACAGACCTGCCAATACTTCACCATCAGAGGCAGATCTGCCTTTGGAACCCCAGCCTCGATCAATGATGACAACGCGGGCACACATGGAGGCATCCTGGTCCTTGGGGATCAGTCCTGCGGCCTTACTCCACTTGGGGCTTTCACCTTTCAAGGCTGTGGGTATCAAGCCTTTTTATGGCAGGCCACTGAATGCACTATCTTGGTTGCAGGAGTCTACTTGAAGACGGGCGAAAAACATCCAGAATGAGACCAATGCCACGATCCTCGCCAAACTCCTTGCACTCATTGAGGCGACCACTCATCCCTATGCCCTTCTCGGGGATTGGCAGAACAGTGCAGGAAGCATTACCAGCACAGTGCTTCCATCCAAGTTCCACTTTGAAGTTCTAGCCCCGGACCATAGCATTCTCTCTGGCAATGTGATAGATTATGCCCTGATGCACAATAGCTGGTGCCACAGCACTCACCACGGACTGGGCGGTCCCATGGAGGCCACATGCCCTCCTGACGCTCCACCTCAACATCAAAGTAGCCACCAAAGAGTACAGGCAAATCCAATACTTCCCACCACTGCCAGCCACACCAGACATCGATTTCCGGCCATGGACTACGTACCAATCTCGGGCTTTTGAAGTTGAGTTGTACGGCAATCCACCCAATTCTCTGGCTCAAAAGTGGGCAGTGGGCGGCCCAAGGCAGAGGAGCTAACCTCCAAGTGGTCGTCAAACCGTTGGTTTCCACAAAGACCACTACCACATGGAAGAAAGGAACGCCGGCATACTGGGAGCAGCTCAAGATCAGATTCCAGCTGGCCGTTAAGCAGCCACAAACTTCGACCACAGGACCCACCAGAGGCTTCATGCACCCTCCAGGACGCTTCCAAACACTGGATGGGACCACCCACGTGGGGCCAATTCCTTGATACGTGTCACCACTGGCACAAATACAGGGATCCTCATGCCGCTGACCTCGTCCAACACACAATTG